CCTTTCGCTTGCCAGTTTCTTGAATGGAGTCTGTTGGACTGCCTATGCTCTCATCAAATTCGACATCTTCATCACGGTAACATGCGCCTCCGTTAGATATTTACGTCCATAATATCGTTTTGCATAGGCAATTGCTTCAAACACTTGCGTCGGTGATGAAAACATGCTATCCTAAGCTTGTGTTTGCACAATATTTTTTTCTTTCTCAGATTCCAAATGGATTGGGAGCACTTTTTGGAGCCTGCCAGCTGATACTCTACTGCTGCTATTATAAATCTACTCCAAAAAAGAAGCCCAAGAGCTCAAAGACAGATATTGAAATGCCTACCGTTGATCCGAACACTGTCAACGAAACGAGCGCCAAGTGATTAAACGTCGAAGTCTGCATAAATTTTCCACTTGTGTTCATATTTTGATCAGGGTCTTTTTGATGCTAATTTCCCCTTGCAGCGAATTTGATCGCCTTGAGGAGTAGGATTAAGGAGTCGTTTTAGCTTAGCCCTTAAGAGCGGCGTTGTTGGCGGTGAAATAATTCACTCCATTTGTTTCATGCTTACTAGAGTTTCTAAATAAAACTCTTGCCTCTGTATCCGTTTCTTTTTGTTATTGGTTTGTAAGGGATCAAATATTTCCAGATGAAAACTGCTACCTTTTTGAATATTTTGCTCAACGTCGTTGTTAGAATCTGAGACCACTGCTTTTATTTCCTTTTATTTCCTTTGATTCCGGAACCGTTGGGAGTCCCAGTGTTGTGCACGGCGGAAGCTTCTCGGAACGACACGAACAATCCAAGAGATAAATCACAACTAATAAGCAAACACAATACCACAGCAAGACAACGAGTTTAACGTGGTTCGGCAAGTTGCCTACGTCCACGGGGCAAGGAGGGGGAAGTTCTTACTATTAGAAATCAAGATAATACAAATAGAGTTACAAATCTCACCGATCAAACCCTAAAACAAAACTCTAGATCTCTCACAAATCTCCCACAATTAGATGTAGCAATCCTCTCCAAAAGACTGCTCAAAATCGTCCTTGCTTAACCCTAATTAATCAGGTTTAGGGTTATATATCAACTCAGAAACTAACCGGGTCAAAAACCAAGGCCCAGCCCAAAATCAGTCTGCGGTCGACCGCGGCAGTTGACCACGCAGGTCTCGCGGTCGACCGCACGAAGCTCCCGGTTGACCGCACCAAGCTCGCGGTCGACCGCACGAAGCTCGCGGTCGACCGAACACCCCCGACAGAGAACCAAATCCTACAGTCAAACTCGCGGTCGACCGAACTGATTTCCAGTTTGCCTAGTTGAATCTGATTTCCTGCACTCTCGCCGTTTCTTCACCCAGCACAGCAACATTGTTTGGGTACACATGCAAGCGAGAAGTTTTCCATACAGGGACAAAGTTCTTTTACAGGCACCACGTGTTCTTCAATGCTTGCAACTTACTGGCGTTGTAAGTGGCCGCAGCTGCAGTAAATGCGACATTCGTCACGCGAGTGTTCAACGGATGAAACCGCCACTCCAAACATTAGCACGGTCCTCATGTAACATTCCTGAATTGTGAGGCACATCAACTTGTCGTCGTTTCGGTCTGCATGATGCACATTCAACCCATGTCTATTTGACTGCAACTGACTCAGGTCCGCGCGACAGAGATATATAAGCTGCTGATGCAGGTCTCAGCCTTTATAAATCTACGAAGTAACCAGTCAAACACTGAATCTGCCATCTGCATACATGTAAGAAGGGCGATGAGATTTTCGACTCGACTGCTCCACCTTACTTCACAGCCTCGCTGCTACTCTGGGCTCCATTACCCGCCTTCACTAAACATGAGTTCTACCGTCTTGCCTTCCTACTCTGAGCTAGGAATCAAATCATTCCTTTACAAATCAGTGCCTACCGTCTGGTGGTACAATTCAAATCGAATCATTTCACCGAAAAATTCACATGTCGGCGTGCTTGAATCCTAAGCATCAAGAGGCTACCGCTATCCTCTGACATCCATGTCCACAACAAACAACCGTGGAGAGCAACTGACCACCCTAAGGCGAAACATATAAAACCTCAAAAATCACGCTAGTATGTTCTATAGTTATTTTAAGAAAAACATATATTCTGCAGGAGTGGCATCAGGGGCACACCCCCCCAACCACACCTCTAACCACACCTCTCTCTCATTTGTTACAGTGCATCGGACCCCACATGAGATTTTAAATTTTTAAAATCTCATGTGGGATCCGGTGCACTGTAGCAAATGAGAGAGGGGGTGTGGTTGGGGGTGTGCCCCTATCATTTTCCATTCTGCAGTTTTATTAGCTTGTACGACACAACCGAGTCTTTCAATTGATTATTTTTGCTCAACTTTGCGAGTGCAGACAATCCTGCTGTGTCATCGCGTCGTATCCCCTCTATTAATTAGTTCTTGTAGAAACACCAATTAAAGAAGGTACATAACAAAAATTCAAGAGAGTGACAGTATCAATCCTAATAAACAACTAAGTATACTCCATAAGAAGCGTATGATCGTATAATTTTATTCCTGCTTGACACCAAAACTAGCGGGCTTGGGAATTTGTGAAATAATGACGGCTAGAATTGTCTTTTACTTGGTCAAACATCATGGCTTACAATCCACCGGAAAAACCACCTGCCAAACACCCAAAGGTGGATAATCCAGTTTGACCGCTAGTATTTTAGCCCGCGTGTCAAGCTACAGGCTACTCACATGTGAGAGCATGTCTAAAGAAAATATACATATAATTAAGCTAGGCTACTATTAATAGCATCTAACACGTATACGATCCTTAATGTTGCTTAAGGTTTTACATGCATGGGAATCAATCACATCGGAGCAAGGCTCATTCTTTGACTGGGAATTGGAATCCATCATTAAGACAAAATATTCTAAATTTTATTCGTTGTTAATTCTCTTCAAAATATATGCACCTAATATTTTTTCGAATGAATTTTTAATTACAACTTAAAGCTTAAGGAAAATTAATATAAAGTGACTAAGGGATGCTTTGTAATAATAATTATTCCTCTAATATTGTATATAAATAAATAAATAAATAAAGTATCTATAAGTGCAACTAAACAGACGACTATAGTGTGCTCCTATCCAAGAATGCTAGTTTTTTCAGGGTGTACCTTATCCTCTATGCAGATCTGGAACTTATCGCATTAATTTTATTAATAAACACTCTTTTATCCTGTGGCTCGATGTGCAATGGTTTGAATGACTAATTTTGCAGCTAATATCGTGCACGTTCAATGGATTCAACCACCATCCTAAGTCGCCATGCAGACCTGTATGTATGTGCCTGCGGCCTTGCAAGGCATACCAGATTGTCAGCACTCAGCTTGCATGATATTGATTCGACGCATGCCCGTTCAACTACGTCTGATTCAGGTCCGACAGAGGCATACTCTACAGTCTCTACTCATGCAGGTCTCAGCCTTTGCAAAATGGCAAGGTACTTGTTGAACAAAAGAGGATCAACCACGCAAACTTGAGTCGACTACTCAGCCTTACTATGCATCCTCTCTGCGGTCGCTCGCTCTACGACTCAGCTTCACTCCAGGATTTTATCATATGGCCCTAAACCCAGTAGCCTCTCTCCAATCACTTCTAACCACTACAGTAAAAAAATCAAATCATTTCACCAAATCTACACGTCGGTGCCATTGACACCTCAGGATGATCGGACATACATAGGACATACTCCATATCGGGGCTGACCAAATGCGGAAAGCACACTAATCATATTGAGTCGTTAATATACCAGATAAAAACCATACAAGTGTCTTTTAGAACGTACGATAAGCAGTTTTTTCTTCTATTACACAATTTTAAGTTTTTCATGTTTTTTTCTCCCACTCAAATCATCAATATTTAAGGTAACATTTATAATACCAATTATAAGACTAGTGAGCTTCAAATATACTGACAGATAACAGTAATTTTAACAATAAAAGGTAATTAATAGATATATTGTTAATACCCTATCAAAGATGCACGTAGAAAAGAAAGAACAAAATCTAAATGCATTCACCAACCAAACAGACTGTCCATCTATTTATCCCCAAAATGATAATTCACAAGATGGTACATCCACATTTGTTCTCTTTTGGTGTATTTTGTGCTTTCTTGTCATTTCCTAATCACAAAACCAAGAAAAGTTAGAATGAGATAGTCGGCTATAATTCGAAAGGCTAAATAGCACTTAAATAGCTTATAGTTTCACTCCTTCAGCACATGTATACCCTCAGTTGTAATTTATAGCATTTATATACCCTGAGTTGTTCAAAATTAGCACATTAATACCCTCTGTTATGCAAATGTGAAAGTTTTCATTCGAAAGTTCCCATATAACATTCATATGTTAATATTAGAGCTTTTAAACCATTATTGGTTAATTACTATTAAACTTAACCAACTTCTAATTTAAATGTATCCTAATTCTATTTTCAAAATAGAATTTGCAAATACTGGGTAATGAATTCAACAAACTTAATAGACTGAAAGTCATAAAATTAGCATATGAATGTTATATAAAACTTTTGGATAATAATTTTCACGTTTGCAAAACAGAGGGTATTAATGTGCCAATTTTGAACAACTTATGGTATATAAATGCTACGAAATACAACTAAAGGTATATAAGTGCCAAATGAGTGAAACTATAAGGTATTTAAGTGCTATTTAGCTAATTCGAAAAGATATAATAACTCAGAAAGATATTTGATATCATATCAAAAGGACATGGACAATATTTACCATTTCCTTTTTCTGGAGGTCGGAGAACGACATGCATAGTTGTAATTCCTGCAGAGAAATCACACAAAGGACTTTTGCATTCTCCCAATGTTTTGCTGTTCTCCAATATTTTCCCTCCATTAATCAACTTAAGGTCATCCACAGTCTTAGGAGCATTCTCTTTCTCTGTCATCAGAAACCATTTTTGAGAAGAGTCGGAAGACAGAATATAAAACCTCTTGATATACAGGATCAAAAAAATAAAAAATAAAAAAATATTTTGAATTAACTATTCAGCTCTGCTACATTAGGAAAATAAATTGAAATGATAGCATGACTATCCTTAGTGTGATACACTTATAAGTAAAACACATTGAATATTATCACTTTAAACTATTCATTTCTGTCATAAGACATTCAAGCAATTAATCACCAGGATATTAGAGTCTGGTTTAGGCCTTAATTTTGGGCTAAGCATAGGACTTAATGGACTAGGGTGAGTGGGTTAGTCATATTTCAACTTGGTTCGGATGGGCTCGGGCCGGGCTCGGTTCCACCCGGCCCGGGCTCAGGCCTAAGTTTTGAATTCTCTGCCAAGCACCCAGTAACCACTCCGAGCTGGGTTAAAGCCCAGCCCAAATGGGCTGAGCTGGGCGGGCTTGTGAGTGGGCCCAGCCCGGTGGCCACCTCTAGTCATTATGAATGGATCTCCATCATTTTTGTCAATGGAAATAGTTAAACCATTAGATTCATCAATTACATGGATAAAGTAACTTTTCTAATGTCTTAGTTATGTTATTATATGCTCTATAACCTTTGCTACATGAAAGTATCCCAAAAATACAATTTTATTTACTTTAGAAGTAAACCTTCGCATTTAAAAGAAAACATTTGCATCCATAGACATGAAGATGGGTAATAAACGGGGATCAGGCCGAATATTATTGGGCCTCAGTTATTAAGAAAACATTCAACTGGCCGACAAGGCCATGCAACCTTGTAGGCCACTTGCAGTTGCCTGCAGCAAGAGGATCTCACAGCAGGTTGGCTTGGACGGGCTTGGGCCCAACCCGGCCGGACAACTAGCCTGGGATGCCTGTCTGACAGGCCGGGCTTGGGTAGCTCCCAAACTCTAATCAAAGAGCCAAGAAAAGCCTGGACCTGGTAGGTTCGGGCCAAGCCCGGCCCGAGCTCAGCCCTTGACCTGGTCTAATAAAGACCCCAGAGGAAAAGGTCGATTCAAAGGATATTATGCCTGGAGAGGACACATAATCCTACAAGCAGAATGCAGCAAAACCAACTCACTCACCTCCAGGGGATTGGATTTTTCAAAGAATCATCCACATTCGTTGGTAATTGGTAGCCCTAACACAGGTATTCAGTTATTCAGACTTGCTTTTTTCTGAGGAAGTTCAGTGCTAATGTAAGTTTATTTCTGCAATTGAACGTACAAATGTGAATGATTTTAAAAGAATAGTTAGGTCATGGCTATATGCATAACGAACTTAATCAATTCACTAGAAATTGTGAGTTGATCATATAGTTAAAGAGAAAACGCTTCTCAGGGCTCATACAGTTAAAAGAGGAACTTATCGGACAAAACACAGAGACATTAGACTTGGTCCCACTGATCTCCAGCTTGGTAATATATTCACTTTTTCAGGGATCAGTTAAAGAGAACGTAAAAATTAGACTTGTTCCCACCGATCTGCAGCTTGCTAATATATTCACAAAGTTGTTACATGAAGAATTTATTAAAAATTGAAAGAAAAATGGTAGCAATCCTATTCAATCTCCTTCATAGGGTTGCGTCTAGATCCCAATACTACTTTCTGTTAGTCAAATGTTGGAATATTACAATCAAAACTGGAATAATCCTCTAAAACTGGAATAATCCTCTAAAAATTTTCATGTAATTTGTACGTAATAAAAATTGGCCAACTGTAACCCTGAAGGTGATAATTTAGGTAAAAGCCCTATCTTCCTTATTTACTCACTTAGAGTTTGCCCTAAAGTTAGTTTTCACTCCCACTTATAGCTGATTCAGACACCACTTTAGGGGTATAATTCTGACCAATTTTTATGATGTGCAAATCATATAGAAATTTTTGGGTGAATATACCAACTTTTTAACAGTAATATTACAACATTTTACTAACATAACGCAGTAATATGCTACCTTTAAAACAATGGCGTATTTAAATGTAAAAAAAAGAGGAAAAAACCTATCGTATATGGGGGCCACGTCATGTAAACTATAAATTATTTAAATGCTATAAAGCCTATTATTTCATACCTATCAGCAGTTATAGCATTCATAGATATAGTTTCTCAGTTTGACAAAAAAAACTAGACATATCATGGAGACCAAGAAACCCAAGTTCCATAGAGAAATTAGACTATCCAGTTACCACAACAAATTGTCGCATCAAAATTATGTGTCATGGGCTATACCTTTTAAACATGGTTGATAAAAAGTGGAAACCCAAGCGAAAGTTGGATGCTCAAACTAATTGGTTCCTTTTTCTACATTTGGCGATCGGAAACATAGAAATACATGGTGTTTGCTACATTTGAAAACGTCACTGCAACCACATAAACATATCCAACTTTCAGTTTTTGCGAAGTGGAAACTCATGCTTTCAAATGAATGAAGCCCATGGTCTAATAGTTCCGGGTTCTGAGTCTTGCAGAATTGATGCCTTAATATGATCAGGACAAGCATACAAGATCTTCTCATCTAGATAATGTATAATCTTCATCATACATCCATCTCTACACAACCAATCACTACCTACACAATCAAAAAATCCTCTAACTACTTGATTCCACCTCCAATCCAAAAGGAAACTCAATCTCCAATAACAAGAAAAACATATTACTTCAACAAAAAATTCAACAAAAAAAAGAAAAAAAAACTCCTACAACAAACCCTTCACTATAGCCATCTACATACAACTTACCAAAAAAAATAAAATCAATTGCAAACCCAACTTTTACTCATCACATTCTTCAATCTCAATCCAAAACAAAAGTTAAAAGAATCTCTCTCTACTCTTGCTCTCTGTATCCAAGCTACAATAGGCGAACACCTATCTTTGGCCCAGGACCGTACCTAGGAATTTTAGGGCCCAAGGCGAAATATTAGATGAGGCCTAAGTGATACAACTCATAATAGATTTTATCTCATTCTTCTTACCTTTTGAGCTGTAAAATTACAAATTAAAGTTTTATATTCAATATTTTCTAACATATTATTTTCGATAGATAATATTGCTAAACCATTCAATCTATCTTGTAACATGGTCGATCTTAAATAAGATTTTAGTAATTTTAATTTTAAAAAACTTTTTACAGCGGAAGCAACTGTTATGGGTATAGTCAATAATACACGATAAGCAATACAAATATTTGGAAAATAATCTAACCACTTTATAAAGTTCAACACTTTAATTGGACTAATAATCTCTACTTTTAAAATTTTCCTAAGCACTCTCAATTCTGAAAACAAATCAAGTCCATTAATATCTAAATGTTCATCATGTTTTAGTGCATTTTCGAGATTAAGACAATATTCTTTCAATTCAATATCATCTAAAGCTTTTAATTTTTTTAAATCAAACAAAAAACCAAAAAAAATTCATATGTTTTAAATTGTTCAAACCTACTTTCAATTGAGCCAAGCGATTTATCAACTATGTATAAGAAATATTCAATACGAAAAGATTCTTCTAAATTTTGATATCTCATTCATCTCTAAATTTTTTCTTAGCTCTCATATGAATTTTCTTTATATTCTTCATTAAAATTAGGAGTACTAGCTTTTTCTTCTTGAATATTATTATCGTTAATATCATTATTTTGTCCTAAATTCTCAACATAATCTTCTAATTCATTCTCAAGTAAAGATTCATCTATTCTTTCTTCTTCTGTTGAAGTTAATGAAACATTATCTTTATTACTAAAAACAAATTTATCAAGAGCTCCTTGTTGAGATCGAATTAATTTTTCAACTCTTTTACTTTTTTTCAATTTTTAACAACCACTTTCATATTTTTTATTAGGCATGCTTTCAAAATATAAAATAACAAATAAAAAGGCTAAAAAGCTTTCAATGTATATCTACAATATCTCTAATTAAGCATAAAATTAATATGAATAAATGATAAAGGAAATTAAATAGCTTTAGTTAGAAAGATAGAACCGGAGATTCGGAGGCGGTGAGCCCGCGAGAGAAGCAGCCAAGTGGGATCGGAGATTCGGAGGCGGCTGGCGGTGGGAACGGAGGTGGTTGGCGGTGGGAGCGGAGGTGGCTAGCGACAGGAGTAGGAAGAGCTTAGCGGCACCGCCGACGGGAGTAGGATTTGTAGGAAGAGCTTGGGGGAGACTGGAGAGTCGGGAGTTTGATGTTTGAGAGAGGAGGTTGCGGGAGGGAGTGGGAGAAAGAGAGAAAGAAATAGGGTTAGGGTTTTGGCTGTACGTGTAAGGGACTTAAAAGAGTTGTGGGTGGGTGGGCCCTACCCAGGATGAGACCCAAGGCAAAGGCCTTGACTGCCTAAGGGTAGGGCCGGCCCTGCTTTGGCCACTCGCCAAACACAGCTAATCATTGCCACCATGCTACTCACCTGCCCTCCTACCCACTCTCCTTTCTCGGGAGCAAACAAGAGAACGAGTAAAAGGGGAATGCCCCTTAAAAGAAAATATCTTTTTGAAAAAAGTAAAACTAAACTAGGGCTTTATCCCACTTTGTAAATTCCTCTTAAAAAAACTAGAGTTGGTCTAACCAGATCCGGACCGGCCCGCTCTTAATAATAATAATAATAATAACAATTGCTTTAATAAAAGAAAAATCAACCCCAGAAACATCATGAACTTGTGAATTTGCAAATAGAACCCCTTGAATTTGTAAAATTTACATAAAGACCTTCAAAGACTTCACTAATTGCAAATTTTTGTCGAAAGCCCTCAGGCTCTGTAAAATTTCTAGACATACCCAAAGGAGTTTATGAATCTGCGGACTTTACAGAAAAAATCAAAGAACTTACAAAATTTATAGGAATACCCAAAAGACTTCGTAACATAAGGGCACGTGCATTGCACATGAATGTATTTGTATTATGTTTTGAATTTTTTTGTGGACAGGAAAACAAGGAAGTGACTCGAAAGAAAAAATAAATATTTAAAGA